TTGTTGCGTGCGTATCTGTTGCCACGGAAACCAACTGTCACTTTGTAAGTTTTGAGGTTTTCACAGCGATGACTATGAAGAAAGTCGTCTTCTGGGTTTTGGCGCCGTGTATTCTTCGTTTTGGCCGACGTTTCGGAGGCGATACGTTCCTCTGAAACATCGGCCAAACGAAGATTACACGGCGCCTAAACCCAGAAGACGACTTTCTTCATAGTCATCGCAGTGAAAACTTCAAAACTTACAATTTAATTGTTTGTTTTCATCAACTTATCAAGTACACTTTATCGTAAAGTGTCCGTTTTTCTGTACTGTTCAGGGAACAACCGGGCCGCCAAAAGCAGCCCTTTTGAGTCACCACAACCTGATAAACAGCGCACTGCAGATTGGCACGCGGTTAGAGCTGGATATAAAGGTGAGCTGGTTCACTTCTCTGCTCATGTGATTACTTACTTCTTGGCCCCACGGTCCTCTAAGAATACTGGCCTTTATTCAAACAGATACCAGTTTTTCTCTATTACGATTACTTGTCTTTTGCCTCCACCTCTTCACTTTCAGCTCCCTTAATCATTCTCTGTATCATCCAGTCAATTCAATGTGGGCATTTCTATTTTTCTCCTGGCTTAGTTTCAAAAAATTTCTCAACAATCCTTGTTTCGCACAATCTAATCCTAGAGTTCATACAGTTCAGTCTCTTTTTTTAATCTTTTCACGTAATATGTGTGTTTATAGACGGGGTTTGGATTGGTGAATATATTTATCGACCACTTATACACACGACTCGGAACGACAAGCAATTACAGAGCAACGACTAATCTCTGCCCTTTACAAATCACCACAGTAAACGCTAAGCTTTTCCAGCTTGCTCGTATCTTCACCAGCCGTTCTCTGGCAGCGGCTTCTAACACTGGAGACTCTTCAGGTTTACGCGCTCAGGTCCTCTCTTCACACTCTCCTGTGCTTAATTGAACTCTCAATTAACTTTGTCTTTTGTTTTTGAGAAATCGACGCGGACCACATAGAAAACACAGCTCTTATATTATTGTTCCAACTGCCCCATTATTAAGAAACTGTTGCCTGGCAAAGGGAATGTGTTTGTCGAGCCGTTGCCCAGAAACGGTCTCTGTTTTCTGAGTAATCCCTTAGCAGCGTGTCTATACGCCTCAATATGTTGCCAAATATGGGATCTTATGCGGTTCCCTTAATTCTTTGTTTTTTATCTCCAAAATCATTTATTATTTCCTGGTAGAATGTGATCAACGGAATACCGTTATGCAGACCTCTTTTGCGTTTAAGTTTGACGTAATATAGAATATCACGTTACAAGCAACATATTTTTCGAAATTAATTTAACTTTAATTAAGAACCTCCCCAAATAAAACTGCTTCATCTGTAGTATTTCTGGGAAATAACTGTACGCACGCTAAGATCTCAAAAGAGAATTGTCAGCTTCCTCAAAACCTACCTACTGGTTGGAAGGATTTCGTTTTTGTTCGGTATTCAACAACAAACCATTATCTACAGAGAAGAAATGGACTTTGGATCCAAAGTTATACAGAGGTCATCGTATATAAGCAGGAATGTAATAAGTCTCAGCACAGATTTTACGTATATAATGAAACTTTTGATGTTCAATTGTTTTATAGGGCGCTAAGATGGCCGTCACCGCTCAGTTCTGCCACACGTCAGGGAGTGTTCTGGGCATAATCTTAGGACTCTGTCATGGTATACCCTGCGTCATATTTGCACCTGTGTTCGACGCCAGAAAAACGTTGGAAGGGGTAATACAGGAGAGGTAAGTGTCCCAAACTTCCAAACTGACATGTAAATACCGTATTTACGCATGTATAGGCCGCGTGCGTGTATAGGCCGCAGCACAATTTTCAGACAGAAATAATAGAAAAAATAATTTTCTTGGAATATTATTTCAGGAGTAGAACACCCTGTATTACTAATTATGAATATATTTTTTTTTAAATGAAGTGTGATTTCGAATATTTCGAACATAAGCCACACCCCAGTTTTCCTCTTGAATTTTTGGCAAAATATGTGCGGCCTATACATGCGTAAATACGGTATTCGGTTCACTTATTGTCCCAGGAGGGAGATGTGTAGGGAGTTGATACACGTATTTGGGAAGTCTTTCCATGGCGTCAGTATGAAAGAATAAATTATTATAATTGTACACCGCAGAGGTTCTTGAACTTGGTGATAGCGCGACCCCTGGAAAAGATTGAAAATTTTTACTTGATCCGCTGACACTACTGGTCATCGAAAAATGCAGTTCTGCACACTATTGCAGGTCCCTATCAGTCTGTACGGTGACAGCAGGAACCTAAATAGCTTTACAGCCTCTCTACACCTACAGTAAGCTATAAAATGTTCCTGTACAGTCACGAAAAGTGCAGTTCTGCACACTGTTGCAGGTCCCTATCAGGCTGTACTGTGACAGCAGGACCCTAAATAGCTTTACAGCCTCTCTACACCTGCAGTAAGCTATAAAATGTTCCTGTACAGTCACGAAAAGTGCAGTTCTGCACACTGTTGCAGGTCCCTATCAGGCTGTACGGTGACAGCAGGAACCTAAATAGCTTTACAGCCTCTCTACACTTGCAGTAAGCTATAAAATGTTCCTCTACAGTCACGAAAATTTCGCGAATATTTCGCGCACTGCAGCTACATTTTTTAAAGCACTATGGGAAATCTTACTGACTAGCCAAAATAATGTTTGAGTTCAGCTACATTTTATGTAATTCTTGAGAATTCTGCGGCCCCCTCAGGGATTTCGACCAACAGTTTGGGAAAGCATAACCTAAATTACCGGAGAAGGAGCCTTCACATTTATGATATATATGTAGGCCCTATGTAGGCATATATGTATAAAACGCATGTGTTTAAACGTGTGGTCCATGTACCTACAGATGCACACACATTTTTGCAATACCATCCGTGTACTTGGACATGGTTTCTACGTCAAAAGACCTGGGTTTCAAGGTGACGACTCTCCAGGTAGCCACTTATGGGGCAGCGCCATGTTCTCAACAGTTGGCACGGCGGATAAAGGAAACTCTCAACGTCAGAAGATTGGTAGTAAGTGTAAAGCTTTTCATCGTGTGTTAAACTATTAACATATTATTATATTTTGTTCATTCAATATTTATATCAATTTAAAATTATGAAAAAATACCATAAAATGGCGGCACGTGGTTTAGTAGTTGGTTCAGATATTATGCTACAAACCGGAAGGTCGAGGTTTGATTACCGATGAGGCCACTGGATTTATAAATTTGCGTAATCATTCCCACTTCAATATGGCCCTGAGGTCGACTCAGCCGCTTAACAGAAATGATCACCAGGAATCTTCTTGGAGATAAAGGAAGGCTAGCGTGTAAGGCTGACAACCTTACCGCCATCTGTGAGACGATTATCAAGAGAAAATGTGGAAGCCTCGACGTCTCACAGTCCTATGGGTCTCCACGGTCTTTTACAGGGATAGCTTTTAAAATTCCATACAATTATCTCGTAATGTTCCGACTTGGTGGACTTGGCGTTTTCACAGCGGAAAGTTAAAAGTACCGTCATCTCAGATGTAACACCGTACAGACCGGTAAATGTTCACTGACATCTAGGAGGAAATATTGCCTCCATCTTCAGGTTCACAGTGTAAGTCTTGTAATTATTCTTTAGCACAAAATCAATGTAGTACGCCCATTTGATAAAAGTCGGTAAATTTGTACCAATCTACACGGTGTCACATTCCAAATTTCGTATTCATCGCGAAGCCAACCCGGTTGACAAATGAGTTCGGAACACTGGTAAAATGACAACTGACAGGGAGAATCGAACTGCTCAGAGAAAATCCTCTCGCAGTGCCACGTTTTCAATTTCGGACCTCACACGGACTACGCTGTTACCAAACACGGGTCTGCGAGGTAAATATTCGGTAAATAACAGCTCAAACGCCGTTGCTATTAGGTAAGACCGTAAATTTTCAGAGAAGATTTTATGAATTAGGTAGACATTCAAGGAGCGTTCATATTTGTCATGATAGTCTTATTTTGAAAAGTTCGGTGTATTGTTCGGAAACAGCCAGACGTTTCGGAGAAATACATCGTATCCATTTTCTCAGTCATAAAGTAAGCCAAGCAAGAAATCAGCATAAGTTGGTGACTCAGATTGTTTTAAGCTTGGCTTACTCTTCGATGTTGAACATTGATGCGATATATTCCTCCGAAACGTCGTGCTCTTGGAACTGCATGACGTTAGAAACAAGAATATTTATCACCGTGGCAACGTCGAATCCAACATTCATATTTTGTATTGGATTTGTGTGGGAAAATTAACGTGTTGCTTTTGGATTATTGATAGCGTTCTGGATCCGGAGTTGGGTGGTTTTCGGTTCGAATGACTGGCGAGACCTTTTATTCTGAAAGAGATTCGTCGTTGTTTTCCTCACGTCCTGACAGATACCTTAATAGTGCCCCGATCAGGACACCAGTGCTTCCTTTCGAATGCTTTCAGATTAATCAACCATTCTGTGCTGTACAGACTAACTACTGATAGGAATATCAAAGGGCTCGGTCCGCTTCTTGTGACAGAAAAGTCCTTTATTTGAGTTTGACCGACCATTTCTTTCAGCCAGGTTATGGGTTGACAGAAATTTCCATCGTGTTTTTGTCGAAACCCGAAGACACCCTAGAACAGATGACGACAACAGTTGGTTTCGCTCAAGATCATATCGAGGTAAGTTAAAAATTAACTAATGATTATGTTACACTTATAATGTAGGGCAGTGTTTCTCAACCTGTGGAAAGCCTCCAACTGATGGGGGCATGACGGTCGGCAGTGATGGGGGGGGGGGCATTGGTTCGCAATAATAAAACCTTCCATTAATGTGTAATGTAATATTCAGACATACATCCATACTTACTTATGGAACTGAGCCCTTCTTCAGGAGAAGCGAATTCTGCAGCTAGTCAAGAATTTCCCAGCATTTTACGGAACCCGAAGGTTCATTACCGTGTTCACAAGAGCCCTCCACTTGGTCCCTATCCTGAGCCAGATCAATCCAATCCACACCATCCCATTCTATCTCTCTAAGAGCCATTTTAATATTATCCACCCACCTACGCTTTCGTCTTCCCAGTGGTCTCTTTCCTTCTGGCTTTCCATCCAATATCCTATACCCATTCCTCGTCTCCCCCATTCGTGCTACATGACCTGCCCACCTCATCCTCCTTGACTTGATCATTTGTTAGGTGGGTCCCTGTCACCACGGCATGGCGCGTCCTCAGGTTGCGGATGGAGGAGACGCCCTCCAGGTATGGAGGGAAGCTGTGAATAGATTGAACATTCGCGGACAGCCGACAAGTGGTGGCCCTCCAGCTTGGGGGTTGGGCGTGGGTCTAACAACTCCTCACCGTAAAAAATCATTATGTTACGAAAATGAACCAAAGTTTGTAATTGTGTTAGGAAGAAATATTCGTTAGCGTCGGTCGTAATTATATATCTCTGCTGTCTTACTCTTATCATCTCAGGAAGGACTCTGGTACATGACGTTAGCTACATTTACGTAAACCAAAACAAGTTCTACATGCTCAGAATTAAGGCCGCACCATAGCTCAAGCGGTTAGTCTCTGGCTTCCCACAGCGGCAGCCCGGGTTCGATCCCAGGTCTGGTCAAGTGGGATTTGTGGTGGACAAAGTGGCGCAGGGGCAGGTTTTCTCCGAGTACTTCGGTTTCCCCTGCCAATCTTCATTCCACCAATTGCTCCACAATCACACTCACCTATCATCTGGGGCTGGTACAAGAGGCCAGACGTGGCCGCAGTACAAGGGACTTAGTCCCAACCCACTAGCAATAACAAAAATAATAATCAGAATTACGTTTTTTTTATTTTGTCCATCATCCGGTATTCTAAAAACCACAGAACACAACATTTCAGACACTGGATCTGTTTCCGTCCTCAGGTCAGCGGGGAGATAACAACTTTGTTGCGTACCTTAGAAAGAGCCAACCTCACTCACTGGACCCAAAGGACACAACAGAGTAGATATCTCTCCTCATCTGTGGATGGAAACAGATCCAGTTTCCAGAAAGTTGTGTTCTTTGGAATACCGGATGATAAGCAAGGTCCAAAAACTATGCAATCCCTAGTATTATACACCCTTATCAGAACACTTAAAATCTACAAGTTCTAGATAATTCATAATATTTTCATTATATTTCTTCATAGGCTAAAGTTGTTGACAAAGATGGACTCATGGTTCCCATGGGAACCCCTGGAGAGCTTTGGATTCGAGGGTACAGCGTGATGTTGGGATACTGGGATGACGAAGAGGAAACTCGTCAATTCATTGGTCCAGCTGGATGGGTGAGAACTGGGTGAGAGATCAAAGCTTTCATGTTAACATAATCAGGGAACTTAATGATCTGTCACTAAGATGTATTAGAACGTACAGTAAACTACTTAATAGAGGGAAAATACACTACCTATTACAGTGTAGCTCTGTTACAGCCCAACGGAATCATCACCATCGTCATCATCATCATCGTCATCATCATCGTGATCGTCGTAATGACGATTTATGCCAACCCCTACTCACCAAACAAAAATTCATCTACCAATCTAAGCTCTTAGAAAAGGAATATATATATACACAACAGAGAGAGATTTTGGAACATTGATACCGAAAGCAAGGACTCTATTTTAATTGATGATAATTTTCAGTTTTCAATGACTAATTACTCATTATACTAATTGATTATTCTTTTACGAGACTCGCCGCCATATTGTTTGAGGCATAGCAGCCTCAGTAAATAGACCTCAAATTAATCGCTTTCCTTTTCCGACTGTCACCCTGTTATCTGTTGTCTAGGCTGTGTTTGTATTATTCTATTAGTTTTCTCCCATTTCCTGTATCATTTTCACTGATCAAGAAGTTTGAAAAAACTCAAAATATTACTTTTATCAATTATGCAATCGCGTGACTCTAACAAAACAGATCAAACACCGCAATAGTTTCATTTTCCTGGGGAGTAAAGCGGGGCCGGTGCGTAAAGCTGACATTACCGCCATCTTTGAGCCGATTGTCTAGATAATGTGGGAGCCTCGACGTCTCACAACCCTATGGGCCTTCACGGCCTGTTACAGAGATAGCTTTACCTTTTACTTTGCTTTACGCGTATGAATACATTAAAGAAACAGAATATGAATGAGAAAGATAAGGAAGTAGAGCCCTACGATAAAGCAAGAATGGAGTGATAAGTGTCACAATCTGTAAACACTGCTGTAAACATCAAATATTTCTACTGATAATTTGTATCAAGGCCACTGAAGATGACACGTTAGTTCCAAGATGGATCAGGCGGAAATATACTTCAGTGTGCCATATATTAATTATGGTTGTACCAGATAGTATTTTAACAACAACATAATTATGATTCATAAAACTTTCATGCAACCATAATTCTTTCATGCTGCCCTATTTTTTTAGACGTGACGGGTGTAAACTGAATACGCATTGAACCTGTTCCAGCTCATTTAACAGAATGGATATGCTAGTTCAGCAGGATTCTCAAGCAAATGACAAAATATTAATCAACTCCCTCCAGTGTTACTGTTAAAATGTTTTTTTCCTTTCTTTTCCTTTTAATCTTTCACCCTTGACACGTTTCGTGCTTAGAGACCATCTTCAGATGGCTATATCAATATGGCAAGAAACTACTGTTACAATGTGATTGGTCAATATCAATATATACTTTGTAATTGTAGTTTCTGCCTGTATTAATATGTCCTTCTGAAGATGACCTCTAAGACCGAAACATGTTAAGGACAAAAGATTAAAAAGGAAAGAAAGGAAAAATATTTTATCATTCACACTGGACGGAGTTGAATAACCTTTTGTAATATTGCTGGTGTTACGGACCAGGATGATGAACCAAAGGAAATTTGTTCAAGCAAATGACTTTATTTACTTCCATTTGTCATCTATCCCGCCTTTTTAAAAGCCCACCTGCATTATCACACTATAACTCTGCATTCTGCCCACACAGCATATTTATGGTTCTGTATGATTATCACAGTAAACAGCGACTGTTTCCCTAAACAGAGTCAAATTCGGAGTTACCTTAGGACTGGCGGTTTACCGCCAATCATTTCGTCTTGGCATCAGGCCCCTTGAGG